AGAGCCTCCAAAAGGCACCAGGAGGGGACAGGCCACCCTGCTGTGTTCACGCACACAAACAGCTCCAGAATGATGCGCCTGCAGCACAGAGCCTCCTTCTTTGGGGTTAGGTATGTCAGGAATGACCTGCCCCAGCCCTGCCTCACTCTGCTACACAGGACAAAGGCACCAAGACAATGTGCAGCACAGAAGTGCTTCCAAAGTGACATGTCCCTCTATTTCAAAGAAATTAGTCCATGCCAACATTACTTTGCACACTGATCTGGCTGGAACAACACGGAAGCACAGCCCCTCTCCTGGCCCACCACTTACACTACCCCAGTGTTGGTGCCTGCAGGGTTTGGCTATGCAGGGTGGCTTGTGTTGGAACGCACGTTGTGCTTCCAGGCCCCTCCATCTCCCAGGAGCCTGGCAGGGAGGGAACACGCCAGGAACCAGGAGCGGGTCCTGCAGCTGCGCCCTCCCTGGCGTGCCGGAACCAGCCCGCGGTGCAGCCTGCAGGACACTGTGCTGTCCCCACTGCTGTCCCCACCGCCGCGGCCATCTCCTGGTCGGCAGCTACTGACCAGCTGCGCTGACTCCAGCTCGGGAGACGAGGGGAGAACAGAGTTGAGAGCAGGCTTGAGGATGCTCAGACCAAAGCTGCACGAGACCGAGAAGGGCACTGTGCTCAAAGGTCTGAGGAGGAGGCTCTCAGGGCACCCTGCTCCAATCTCATCATGCAGGAAGGAAGCATTCAGGCCTTTAGCAAGAAATAAGACAGGCAAGTGGCTGCTCCTAAACGACTAGGCTGCGCCTAAACGACTAGGGATGCCAGGGCTCTGAAGCCTCCTCTGGAGTAGGAATTGCAGGTCCTCACATGCAGGAAAAGTCCTCTCTGCAATGTCTCCTGGGACACCTGCGGGGCTCTGCAGTCCCACAGCACCACCCCCTGGAGATGGAGGCACAGGACTGAAGAGCACTGCACAGTTCAAGGAGGAGCAGGATGGAGGTTTTGCCAAAGCCTGCCTCTTCCCACTGAGCAGAAGGAATCCAGAAGGAATCTGCATCCTCTCCTGCAACAGCAACATGTCTTGACTAGGAAAAGGATGCAGAAGTCCCTGGTAGTTTCTCTGTGGCATATGATGATCCATCACCATTGTGCCCTTGTCAGGAGGATGGATTGTGAAATCCCTGTAGCTGGAAAGGGGGTTATCATTCCTAAAGACGCTATCATTCCAAAGAAACTGGAGCATAAAAGAATGCTTGGGTCTATAAAGCAACAGGATATACACCAAGTATACCTTGGAAGCCTCCTGTATGAGGACATGCTTTCTGCCCTAACAGGATCTTGTCACACACTCGTGGGCTAGGAGGGAATTTTGCTCTCACACTGTTGAAACCTGCTGTCATGTTCATCCCAAGCTGACACTGCTGCTCACCCTCAGCAGCAATATGGACATCAAAATTAGCCAAGGCCACCTCTACCTGCAAGGAGAAAGAGGCCAAGCTCTGGCAGAGGCACTGGCCTAGCATGTTCATGAACATGGCCTGTGTCCCCTCACCTTTGGATGGAAATCAGCACAAGAGCTCTCCTCTCCTCCCAGCTTGGGAGCGTTACTCTCCTGGGTGTCCATAAGCCAATCTGAGACAAGTTCCACTCATTTGGCAGTGCAGCTCCCTCATCAGATGGGAATTTGGGGTAATGACTCTGAGGGAGTGAGGCAAGTGGAGCAGATAAGTGCTGCATAAGCAGGCTGAAGCAATGTCACATGCCAGCGCTCCTGCTGAGCCCTTGGTGACATAAAGCTGTGGGCTGGGATACCAAAATGACATCATTTAATTGTTATAAATAGTTCCTACAAGAAAGAACTGACGAATTTATCCCAGATCCCGTCATCACCTTGAAAAGCTCAGACAAACGTAGAAAAGAGCAATAGCAGAGAAGGAAAAGTGATGCAGAATAGGTTACAGGTGATCATTTCTCTAAATACCACAAAATTGTGTGTGCAATCAGCCATCCCCAGGATGCCAGGAGCAGTTTGCCAGCCCACAAGAACTTTGGCGTGGGATCCTCTTGCCCAGTCAATGACAAGCGAGCAGGCCCCAGGATGCAAGAGGGGTTGATGGGCACTGCCTGAGCAGTTCTCAGAGTGCTCCCTCTGTGCTGGACCAGCTGCTGTGTGACTGCTGCTCGTGCTGGCATCCAGGGAGCTGATTTGGGATGTCCTAGATGATATTTTCTTTGCAAGAAATGAGGGAAGTAGAGCTTGGGATTTAAGCATTCAAGTTAGAGCATTACTGAAGATCTCAACCTGTTACTTTGGGAACACCATCTGCTTTCAGGCCAGGAATGTTGTTTGGCTGGCACCTCTCTCCTGCCCCTTCTCTGCCACTCCAGAGTGAAGGAGAAGTGGCCTCCACATGGCACAGGAGCACCAAGGGGAGCGCAGGCTGGGCACTGGTACTGTCCCCCTTGCCTTGGTAGGACAGGCATGTGCTGTAGAGCCAGGACCAGGTGGGTCAATGTTGCTGGTCCTGGAAGTCCCATTCTCAAGCAGGATGCTTTCCAGAGGCACAGATGTGTGCAGTTTCACAGTCTGTATGGTGGGATCACCAGGCACAGGCGCATCCAAGCAGTCGTGGTGGATGGAGGTGCCCATAGGTGGTGGCAGCAAGAAAGACAGGGAAGAACAGGCAACCAGGCTCTTGAAGGAAGATGCTTAGAGGAGAGTAATCCTGCAGATATCTTGCATGGGACTCGGTGACTTCATCTGAGTGATCCAAGAGGGTCTGAGATAGCAGTCACAATACAGAGGTGAGGGTTTGCACTATATGAAACATGAATCTACCCAGGAGCAGCCTGTACCAAGCCAGGAGAAGCATGTGATCCCTTTCCATCAGTGGCAGGCTTTTATGCCACTTTATTTTTGCAACTTAATTTGAAAGATGGGAGACTGTACTATTCTGACAGTCAAACAACATGCTCAGATATAAGTGAGAAAAATCTTTAGGTATGCTGTTCTTTCAGGTTCACAGAAGAATCTACACAGACATTATACACTGAAGGACAACCTGCATAGACATCACATGCAAAAGCATCATTGCAATGAGATGGAATTGGCATTCGAGAAGGGCTGGCCCTCTGCCCACAAAATAAACACTTAACTCAGGGTAGATTTTACTGAAATATGGTTTAATTTCACAACTTCCTGTTGCCTTGCCTGTACAACACTCTGTACAAAACATACTCAAGAACAGCATTTCAGCCCTGCATAAATGTTTGACTGGTTGTATTCAGTATTCAGTGGCTTTGAGTCTTGGAGGTCGAGTCTCCTGCCTTCTGTGATGCTGGCGTGGAAGTAGCGTTGGTGCTGAGGCTGCAGCATGATACCCTTGGGGATCATCAAACATTCTGGCTTTCCAGTTTCATTCTCCACTCAGTGATGAAATCTCTCAGCTATGGCAGAGGATCTCACAGTATCACATATTTCTTGCCAAACACGAAAGATTTTTAACCTACCCTTCCATTCTACAAAAATATTCCAGGGATGTTATGAGGTAGGGGCAATTACATTTCAAAGATATTAATGTGGTTAAGACTTCTATATCCTTTCCTATAGCACTTGCTATAGCAGTTTCTTCAAGAGTAACATTGATCTGCCCACACAAATACAATTGCTTCTAGATTTCCACTTACTTCTGTCAATGCATCTTCACTGCTAGTAGGGCTGTCCTATATTAATCTCGCCAGAGATTTTCTCTGGTGCTCAGCTAAAATAACTGACAGTGTTTAAAATGCAGACAGATACTTTTTTGAACTTAGGAGGTTAAAGCAAATAATATGTTTAGCTGCTACTGGCAGTGGAATACATGCAGAACTGGGAATGCTGCCAAGGGTTACATGGAATCTGAAACAACGGCTGTGGATTAGGAATCCACAAGGCTAAAGGTCAGCTTCGTAGGGCCACGGCGTCACAAGATGCTCTTGTGCCAGCCTGACAACAGCTGGGGAGAATGGCAGAATAGTCTGTCACCTGGGCAACATCCACAGAAAGTTTCATTTTGGCCATATCTTTTTTCCTGCCATCTTCTATGTTCTTGAGAAGTTTCAATCTCATGGTTTTTAAAAGTCATAGTGGAAAACCACGATTGTTATGAAATGACATAATTCCCCGAAAGCTTTTTTCTTTTTTCTCCATTTTGACTACGTGCAGCACAGCTACTAGATCAGAAAAATAAAACACTCAGACTATCATGCACATCTGAAAATAGATACAGAGCTTTCGTACAGAGGCAGTTCTCAGTGAAATTTTCTCATTTTCACAGGAGAGCAGAGATGTTTTCAGGAAGATTGTGCTACAGGGAAGATGCTGAAAACAAGAGGAAGAGAGAAGCAACTCAATATTGCAACAAGGGAGATAGTTTGAAAGATAGGATGGAAGGAGTAGGTGGCTCAAAGTTAAGGATATTTCATGAGGAACTGAGTAAAACTGCCAGAGATGTTTATCCCTAAATACATCCACAATCCATCCATCCTCAACGGCACTGATTTTCCATTCATGCCAGAATTCCTAATGACCTATTTTTACACTTACCTCATAACTCTTGTTTCTCCCTTCTCATTGCTCTTAGTTACCTAAGCCCAGCTTTTTCCTCACTGTTAATATTGCTATTGCACAAGTCTTTTACGTTGCCACTCCTGCCCTGTAGAAAAATCTGAACTAGATATTGTCTTATTAGATGAAAATGGGACATTTCTTTCTAGAAGATTAGCTCAAGGTCAACAAAAGCCTCTGAGCTCATGTAGAAATCAAGTTGTTTTTCAGATCTGCCTTTTAAATTTCCGTTTCTTTCACATTTGATCACTAATAGATCAATTTAAAAAAATTAGTAAAGCATTTCCAATGCATATTGCCTCATCGGGAATACTTTCTGACACTAAAGCCCTGTGGTAACCATTTTTAAGGTATCTTGGCAGCAATGACAAATTTTAACATCACATAATCAAATTAAAGGCATTAAAGATTGTTACCTTTAATGGTGAGGGAAGCTTTGCTGAATGCACGGCCCAAGTCATTGCTGGCCTCTACCATATATTCTCCTTCATCATTTTTTACAACTCCTAAGATCATCAGGGAGCAGACACCAAAGACATTTTTGCACAAATAGGTAGGATCCTTGGAGAGGTCCCTGCCATCCTTATACCATGTGATCTTCGGTTGTGGATGGCCTGTAACTGCACAGTTCATTTGGCACTCTGTCCCAGCGATCACCACGCAAGGCTTCAACTGGACAAGGAATCTTGGGGGTTGGTTTTGATTAACTCCTCTGTATTCCCGTTGTTTGACATGGAAATCAGCTGTTAAATAAAAACAAGCAAACAAAAAATTAGAGAAACAGACAAACCAACCAACCCAGCGACATACAAACTCACTCAGATACTGCTCTACGAGGGTAGAAATCAGTGTAAAAGATGGATTTTCAACTGTGACTTTGAACAATGGCATTCCACATTGCCAATAGTTCATCTATGGTTTATTCCCATATTGCCCAAATTTTAACCTAAAGTCAGAAGCTTTGGGTTCTGTAAAACTTAAATCTCAGATTTCACTGGGAATTCATTTTGTGATGAATTATGTCTGATACAACTACTGGAATTAAAGGAATAACATCGATTTGCAACAATGTCTGTGCAGAGAGAACAAGCCTTCCTTGCCGTGGTGTCTCTATGCACTCTGCACATTCTGGGCAGCTGTTTATTCACAGGAGGAGAGAGCTGCTCCAGAAGGCTGTACTAGAAACTTTAAAAGGAACAAAACACGACAACATGGGTACACCGATAGCTATTTGTAAAATCTGTTTTACCTTTTTGTTTTCGAACTCTCCAAGGCCGCGCAGTATCAGATGGGCTACTGGTTCCCAAGCAATTTTTTGCCACAACCCTAAAGTAGTAGTCATGGCCTGGGACAAGTTTTGTGTATGTGAACTTGTTGTTGTAGATCATGTCACCAACTGTGTGCCACAAGCCCTTCTCTGATTCACGTTTCAGGACCGTGTAGTAGAGATCACTTTCCCATTTCTCAGATGCTGATGGCTCCCACGTCACTGTCACTGTTTTTTGCACGTTCTCCTCTAACACAACAGGTCCAGGGGACTTCGGAATATCTGTCAGATGAAGGCAAAAATAACAAAGATGTAGGGAAAATGGCATGTAGGGAGTCTTAAAACACTGGACTTCATCGGATATTTTAAGTTTAGAAGCTCAGTAAACATCCTCATCATTAGAAACACGAAAGTCAAAATTTGAATTCTCCTTCTTCAGATGCACGTGAACTTTTCCTGCTGGGCCTCTTCTTCTGGATAGAGGTAGAAGATGAGGGGTGACACAGCTAAACTTTTTCACCTTACTGAGACAGCTTAAAAAGTTGTTATGGCTATAACTAGTGTTAGTTTGTTACAAAGAGCACGAGCTGCTCTCCTGTGATTTGCACTCTCTAGCTTGAGTATATTTAAGCAGATTCATTCTAGTAAGGATAAGTAATTAAAATCAGTAGATTGCTCTGTCCCACAGATATGGGTAAGTGGGACTGCATCTCATGGAAAATTGTGTTCACCTGTACTCCTTAGTTCTCTCCCTGCCTGCACTGCTTAACTGAGTCAGAGCTCACTGTGCTCAGCTCCTTGCCTACTGCCTAAATCTGAACACATAGATAGTAGTGACTTACCTGTAACTTGAACTTGGAAACTGAATGATTCTTTATTCCCTGACCCATTCTGGAGCTCAACAGTGTAGGTGCCAGTGTCAGAGAACTCAGCTGCCTCAATCAGCAGTTGGGTGGCACCACGCTCGGTGTTTATGCTGGCCCTTTTTGGCAGAGGATGCCCATCCTTTAACCAGGTCACTACCGGATCTGGAGACGCCTACAAAGAATAACATAGGTTACAGACCACCTGTTTTGTCTCCAGGTTTTGTCTTTAAACATTAAGTATTTTTGTCTTCTCCCAAGTGTATATTTACACGACACGCTCCAGTGATACAGAGAAATACCTGAGCTGGATTTAAACAAGTTAGATCCAAATAGAAGATTATAATAACGATGATAATCTTCCTCCAGTGCCCAAGTAAGCCTCTTCAGAACTAATTCAGACACCTCTGCAAAGATCTGCTTTGTTTCTTTAATTTTTTGTTTCTTTAACCTTTTTCTTTAACCTATCAACCCAGTAAAGAAATTTTAGATTCTTTGT